AGCCTGGACACTCCCCGAATCGATCGTCAACTCCTCCTCCCTCACCACCTTCATCGCCAGCAAGGCGAACGTTGCTGGCCAGATCCCCGACTTCTTCGCCTCCCTCCCGAATTTCCAGACCCTCCGGCTGTCGTACAACAACTTGACGGGCCCTTTGCCGGACTCGTTCGCTAAATCGGGAATACAGACATTATGGCTCAACAACCAGATGGCGGGCCTTTCGGGCCCGCTTTATGTCCTAAGGTCCATGACCCAGCTGCAAACCGTCTGGCTCCACGCGAACCGGTTTTCGGGCCCGATCCCGGATCTCTCGGCCTGCACCGAGCTGACCGATCTCCAGCTGCGTGACAATACACTAACGGGGATCATTCCGGATTCACTCGCGAAGCTCCCGAATCTCCACACTGTGGGCCTGCAGAACAATAAGTTCCAAGGCCCAATGCCTGCTTTCCCGCAGGGAACCCAAGTTAGCCTCGGGACGACTAACAACTTCTGCCTAACGTCGCCAGGCCCGTGCGACCCACAGGTGACAGCTTTACTCGAGGCGGCCCACGATATTAACTACCCGTCTGCTTTAGCCGATTCGTGGAAGGGCAACGATGCCTGCAAGCAGTGGAATTTCGTGACGTGCGAAAAGGGTAGTGTGACTGTCGTGAATCTCGGGAAACAAAACTGGACGGGCATGATTTCACCATCCTACGCAAACCTGACGAGCTTAAAATCGCTGTTTCTGAACGATAACAATCTGTTCGGGACAATACCCCAAAGCCTCACAACGCTAACCCACCTCCAGATGCTCGACTTATCAAACAACAACATTTCGGGGAAAATCCCGTCTTTCGCGCAGACAGTGACGATTAAAGTCTCAGGGAATGTGTACATTGGGAAGGACGTGTCGATCACCTACCCGCCAGGCTTCCAGCCCGACATGGACGGTGAAAGTAAAGAAGGGTTCAACTCGAAAGTCTCTCCGTGGGTGATTGTGATCCCGATTGTTGTTTTAGTCATCGTACTCTCAGTCATGTGTGCCATATTCTACAAACGGTATATGAACAAGAGAAGGAACAAATACACGTGGGTGAGCGAGAAGAGCAGGAAAAAAAGTGAGAAGCAGATAATCGGCAATGCGGAACAAGAAAAGGATATGATCAAAAGCCTCTTCTCAAAGTCCAAGTCCAAGTCCAAATCAAAATCCGAATCCTCTAGCCACGCAGCTGAGACCCCGGTTCGAATGAGCGAGTACCACATAAATGACGGTGGGAATATAAACATCCCGTTCGAGGCTCTACGGGAGGCCACCAATAACTTCGACGAAAGGGCCGTGCTGGGGAAAGGCGGTTTCGGAATAGTGTACCGTGGGAAGCTTCATGATGGCACGTTGATTGCAGTCAAGCGGATGGAGTCATCTATGCTTAGTGACAAGGGCTTGCATGAATTCAAGGCAGAGATTGAGGTCCTCACAAAGGTGAGGCACCGGCATTTGGTGGCCCTGCACGGGTTTTGCGATAACGGGAGTGAGAGGCTCTTAGTGTACGAGTGCATGCCTCAAGGGAGCTTGGGGCAGCATTTGTTCCAATGGAAGGATATGAAAGTGCCCCCACTCGACTGGAACCAGAGAGTGACGATAGCTTTGGATGTTGCAAGGGGGGTTGAGTACCTGCACAGCCTGGCCCAGCAGAGCTTCATACACAGGGACTTGAAGCCGTCGAATATATTGCTGGGGGATGATATGAGGGGAAAGGTGGCGGATTTCGGACTGGTTCGGTCAGCGCCGGATGGGAATTACTCGGTCGAGACGCGGTTGGCGGGGACGTTCGGTTATCTTGCGCCGGAATATGCAGGTAAATCGTCTTTTCCTTTCTGTATTAAGAATTTGCAAGCTCCAAAAAAATAAAAACATGTTTTTGAAGAAAATAAATAGATAAATAAAGGTTAGTCAAATAACTTCCAAGTGCAAGATCTTGCTTTTTTCTCCAGAAACCTCAAAAAATGCAGCTAATGATAGATCACTCATGCTGAAAAATGAAATTGCTAAGTACTAACTAATTAATCGTTTTCAAAACCTCAAAAAAAATGCAGCTACAGGAAGAGTTACCACGAAAGTAGACGTGTACGCTTTTGGGGTCATCCTCATGGAGATAATCACGGGCCGAAAAGCCCTAGACGACTCGTTGCCAGACGAACAAAGCCACCTCGTCACATGGTTCCGCCGAATGATACCCGACAAAGACGCCGTACGGTCGGCCCTCGACCCTGTCCTCCTTTCCCTCCTTGACGAGGAGAATTTCTCCAGCATTTTGAAGGTGGCAGAGCTAGCGGGCCACTGCACGGCCCGGGAGTCCTATCAAAGGCCCGATATGAGCCATGCTGTCAGCGTGCTCTCGCCTCTTGTGGGGAGATGGAAACCGGCTGCCGATGATGAAGATGAGGACAGCCTGGGGTTTGATATAAACATTGGCCTCCCACAAGTGTTGCAAAAATGGGAAGCTACAGAGGAATCTTCTTCTACAATGTCAAATAGTTTCTTCAATAGTAATACGAACAAAGGCACCAGCTCAGCCAGCTCTGATATGAGATGAAAACCCATATGGTAAAAGCTCATATCAAAGCAGAAGCAGAATTGAGTGATTCATTTCATTAAATAGTTTCGTATGCTGTTTCTGGGGGGAAATCCTATTGGATCTATAGTGTATGGTTTTCATGTTTCCAGGGGTTTCTTTTGTAATTCTCAGACGGCATTATTGATTTTTTACTGTCACGAAGTTGTAGTCTTGTAGATGAGGTCTAGAATATTTTTGTATAACATTTTTATTGGATTATGTAGTGGATGATTAGCCTTTGACCATTGAGTTTTTGAAACATAAATAGGGTGAACTGAGTGTAAAAAGCAAAAGAAATCCACTTATCTCAAGCTTCATTCATGCAAGATTCATGCTATACCTGGTATTTGCCTAATCATTTTGTGCAGTACATGTAAATAGGCATTCTAATATGATCAAGTCCCAAAAAACAAAATAAAAATAACCATCATTACAAAATTCTCAAAAACATGCTCTTTAAGCTGCAAGGATATGCATTCGACTTTACACAATGCTCCACAAGAAAGTGGGCTAATATAGATAAATTATAAATCCAGAGATCAAATACATGATAACCCACTCGATACCTTGCAATGGGAATAACTTGAAGATGATTGCTCCCTGGAACAAGAAAAAAAAAAACCTGTGTATATTGGCTCCAGAGAGAGAACATCGCCCTAAAATGCCTCGTATAAATATGAATATCAAGATAAACATCATGATCTGCCCGCTTTGATCGCAGTCACAGGAAAACCAAAACGCCGATTGCCAATTGCCAGTTTGCCAAGAAGGCAATTTTCCAAGAAATACCACCACAATGCAGAAATAACTTATAGAGATGTCCACACCACATTGCCAGATGTGTCTTTTAAACATAAGGGCGAAGAAAAAACATTTGCCCCATTCATTAAGCACTGAGCTTCATCTCATACAATTAGAATCGGGTCACTGCCGAACACCATATGACGAAACCAAAGAAAACTAGAGATCACGACTCAGAAAGTGCAGCCCGTCCAACAAAGTCTTATACGTCTTCTCATTCATAAAGCTGTCCCTTTTCCTGAACTTTTCAAGAAGCTCGAACGCGTCATTACCTCTCCCATCCCTACAAATTTCCCCCAACAATGTCTTATAGGTCAACAAATCAGGTGACATCGAATTCCCCAACATGTCATATGTGATCTCAATTGCATCGTCAAACATCCTCTCAATCGCAAGACTGCAAATCAAGATCAAATAAGAACTCCCTCTGGGCACCAACCCTCTTCCTCTCATTTCCCGGTAAAAATCCAGCCCTTGACTAACCCTACCCTTCTCACACAACCCTTTTGCAAGATAACTGTATGTGTACCCGTTTGGCTCACAACCATACAATCCCATCTCGCGAAAAACACGGACAGCCTCATCAACCTCGAGGCACTTGGAGTAGGCTTTGATGATCATGTTCAGCACGAAGGTATCGGGAATCACCCCGGACGCCTTCATCTGCTTAGCTAACGATTTGACTGCAGGCAAATACACATAACACACGTTCAATTTATCAAATTTCCTCATTAGCGAGTTGAGGAGCAGAGCGTAGGTTTCTAGATTAGGTTTGGCGTCCTGCGATTTGGTCATTTTCTTGTAGATATCGAAGGAGCGGCTGAATAGGTTTTTACGGCCACAGCAGAATTTGATCATGGTGTTGAACAGGGAAAGGCTCGCGGGGCAGGCGCCGGCGATGATTTCCTCGATCAGGGTCTCGGCCGCGCGGTAGCGCTTTCCGGAAACTGCGATCTCGATCATCGTGAGGTAGGTGGAGTGGTTGTGCTTGTAGTTGCGCTGCTGGGCGGTCCACCGGAAGATGTCGAGGGCGAGGTCCGGGTCGGATTGGGCCCGCAGTGCGTCTTCGACGTCTTGTCCAGTGAAGCCGGGCTTTAGAGTTTGGAGCCATGTCTCGAACTGTTTCTCTAGAGGGGTCCGTGAGGGCGGATTTGGAGGTGGTTTGGGCGGTGAAGGAGGCGGAGGAGGATCGAATGGCGCCGGCGGTGTGGAGTGGGGAAGAGTGGTGGTGGTGGTGGTGGTGTTAGAGAGGCAGCGTAGAGAGAGGCGGCGGAGGAGAGGGGTTCGGGTGGTGCGAGGTAAATAGGAGGCCATTGTTGGTGGCGAACGGCGGTCTGTTGGCCGGTGGGATTTGTTGCAGGTAGGGATTTGCTGTTGTGGACTTGGGCTCGATTTTGGGCTGTACGCATAGGTAATGTTGTGAAATGGATTGGGCCTATTGAAAACTCTAAAAGTGTTATGATCTTAAACTTAACCTTCAAAATCTTATTTATTTTATTTTTGAAAATTGAAATAAGAGGGTAGGAAAAACGATAACAAACAAACTATACCACCAATTCCCCTTCATCTTCGTTCTCCCTTTGCTTTCACACACCTGCGCAGACACGCACAAAAACCTCAGCCCATGGCATGTTGCTTCGGATACTGAGACCAAAACTCCAGCCATTTAAAACCCACTTCAACTTTCTTCAACCCATCTCATTACTCTGCACCACTCCTCATCCATGGCCGCCGCACGACACCGTGCTCACAGTCTCGGCCCTGATCAAGAAACCCAACTGGGAACACAACGTTCACCTCAAATCCCTAGTTTCTCACTTAAACTCGCGCTTGATTTCAAGAGTCATAGCCATCCACTCCAGCGACGTTCCACTCTGCGCCGATTTTTTCCGATGGGTTTGCAGACAATCGACTTACTGCTACGATATAGATAGCAGAATCCAGTTCCTGTATATGCTTGCGTCCGATAAGTTGTTTGGGGTTTTACATAAAGTGCTGGTATGGCTAATCAAAGAATGCAGCGGTTCTGTAGATGATGCGCTGAAGCTCATGGCTGCCATTAACGGCGTGCGGGAAATGGAAGGGTTTCGAGTTAATTACCCTTGCTACAGTACGCTTCTGTTGTGTCTGGCGAAGTTGGATATGGGTTTGATGGCTTTTTCAGTGTTTAGAAAAATGGGGGAAGATGGATTTGTTGCCAGTGAGATCGATTACAGGGCTGTTATAAATGCTTTGTGTAAGGATGGATTTGTTCAGGCTGGGGAAATGTTTTTCTCGAGAGTTTTGAAGCTCGGGTTTGCTGTAGATATTTATATTCACACCTCCTTTGTGCTTGGGAATTGCAGAGCTGGGGATCTTGGTAATGCATTCAGAGTGTTTGCTTTAATGTCAGAAAAGGATGGCTGTGGTGTGAATAATGTTGTGTACTCAATTCTTGTACACGGGCTTTGTGAAGCTGGAAATTTAGACGAGGCGTGCCGATTGAAAGACGAAATGAGTGAAAAGGGCTTTCAGCCAAGCGTGAGAACATATACTGTTCTGATTAAAGCTATGGGTGACAGAGGATTGGTTGACCGTGCTCTTGATTTGTTGAACGAGATGGTAAAGAGGGGTGTCGAGCCGAATGTCCACACGTACACGGTTTTTGTTGATATGTTGTGTCGGGAGGGAAAGATTGAAGAGGCTAATGGGATGTTTAGGAAGATGCTAAAGGATGGACTGAATCCAAGTGTTGTGACTTATAATGTGCTAATTAACGGTTATTGTAAAGAAGGACGAGTGGTTCGGGCTTTTGAGTTGCTGGGGCTCATGGAGAGAAGGCAGTGCAAGCCGAATATCCGCACGTATAATGAGCTCATTGAAGGGCTGTGTAAAATAGGTAGGCCTCACAAAGCGGTGGAATTATTGCAGAAGGTCATCAGTAACAGGTTATTTCCTACTGCTGTCACGTTCAATATTATCGTTGCTAGCCTCTGCTGTGTGGGCCAGCTAAAAATGGCTGTTAAGATATTTCACTCGATGGGCTTATTCGGAGTCGAGCCCGATCGATATTCTTACAACGCATTCATTGACTGTCTCTGCAAGATGGAAAAAATGGACCAAACAGGTGTTTTTATGGGGTTGATGACAAAGAGAGGAATATCTCTCGATGAAATTACTCGAACTGCTCTCATTTACGGTTATTGTAAGATTGGAAACACTAAATCGGCACTTTTTCTGCTAGAGGAAATGGTTAAAGATGGGTTTTTGACTAGCCCGCATGCTTTTAACATATTTCTTGATTTCCTGTGCAAAGGAGGTAAGCTAGTCGAGACGAATGCCATGTTAGGGAAGATGCTGAAGCTCGGTTTGGGCCCTTCGGTAGTGACCTACACTATATTGGTTGATGGGCTTTGCCGAGCGGGCGATTTGAAAGAGTCCCTGAAAATGTTGGACCTCATGAAACGGGCCGGTTGCCAGCCCAATGTCTACACATATACTATAGTCATTGATGCTCTATGTAAAAATGGAAAATTGAAGGATGTGGAGAATCTCTTGATCGAAATGCGAGAAAACAACATACTGCCGAACGAATTCATATATGCTCGACTGATCAAGTCGTATGTTGGGGATGGGAGATTGAAAGCCGCATTTGAGATTCTGCGTGCCATGTTTGAAAATGGCTGTACGCCCAACAACCGGATATATTTCTATTTACTTGCAGGGATTTGTATGCACGGTAATTTTAATTTCACTAACATAGATATCGGCCATGCCATTCAGCTTCTGGATGGTACTAAAGAATTTTACGGCGACCCTTTTGGTGCATACGAGTTTCTAATCACGGGCTTTTGTCAGGCCGGGAAGACATTGGAAGCCCATACTCTTATCCAAGAAATGGCGAAAAATGGCCTCGCACCCGATAAATCATATCTGCAAGTGCATGGTTATGCATTCTTATAAAAGTGACGATTATATGCCCTGTTTTGAGTTGATAGATCAGATAGGGGCGAAGGAGAGGCCAATTGTTGCATTTTTCTATAAGAACCTGTTGACAAGCAGCAATAAAAGTTGCCTTTTTCTGTCTGAGTTGCAGTAATTTGGAGTGAATTGAAAGTTAGTTGTGAATGAAAGGTACCTATATTACCCCTCTTTCCATAATCACCTTTAACCATCACAAGCAAAGAAAAAACGCAAGATTCACATCAACTGCACTGTTTCAAGACACACAACAAAATCATCTGCAGGCCAACTTTTGCCGATTAAGTCGTGCTACTTCAACACAAAACGGTTTATATTTTAAATAAATCGAACAGGCTCGACGAGCTACATGAAATCTCCAGTACCCAAAAAAAAAAAAAGAGAGAGAGATTGTTTAAAAAGGGAATTTAAAAAAAAAAAAACAAAATCAGCAGCCACCGGAACAAGAATTCGTAATAATCTGCAAAAATTTTGCCCTTTCCGAGGCATCGTTTAAGAATTGACCCAAAACTGCAATTGTGGCCGTATTGCTTCCAAACTTCTCGATCCCTCGTGAAATCATACAAGTATGACTTGCTTCAACCACCACCATCACATCTTCCCCTAGAAAAGACGAGGCTGTCTCGGCTATCTGCCTAGTCAGCCTCTCTTGCACCTGGAGCTTGAAACCGTAAAAATGCACCACAGACTGAAGGAGGGATTTTCCCATAAGGTTCGCCCCATAGTATCCCACGTGCACCACACCGTGAAAGGGAAGCAAATGGTGCTCGCATTGCGAACAAAACGGCAAGTTCGTCTCGAAGCAAAGGGTTTTCTCCTCTTCCTTTGGGATGATCAAAGAGTATCCGTTATTGTTTAGCCTCAAATCCAAGTCGGCATTTCGAAAATTCATCAGCCACCTCACGAAACGGGCCGGGGTCCCGATAAGCCCTTCCCTCGACGGGTTCTCGCCTAGAGATATAATTATCGAATTCACCGAACGAACCATCTCCAAATTGGAGGGACCATTTTTGCAAAAAACATGAGACGGGCACCAAGATTTGGAACCCAAGCCTCCTCCCGACCGGACATCCTTGGCATTTATTCCTCGGAATCTCAAAAGTCCGAGGAAATCCGACCATGTATCCGCCATGTCATCATCGAATGCCCCCGAGCCCGACCTAACGATGGTCTTGACGTGGCCCTCACAGGTGGCGCCAAATATATCCGACCCGAAATTTGGATAATGAATGTGCGTGCACTGCAAAATTACGGCAACCCCATTCGGTCGAAAGCTGTTTTGCAAAGCGAAACAAATCTCGTCGGCCAAACGCTGTGGATCTTGGAGGCGTTTTGCGAAAACCTCAGAGACTCGGGAGAGTTTGCTTAGGCCCACAACACGCTGACCGGACGGGACATAGCCCACGTGGCATTTGACTTGGAAAGGGAGCAAGCAAGACTCGCAGTACGAAAATAGGTCGAGGTCTCGGACGATTACGAGCCCTCCCGTCCCGCCAGCTTGGCCCACTTTGCATTCTAACCCTGCCTCGGGGAATAAAGCACCACTGATAATGTCCTTCACTTGCAGCTTATACCCTGTTTTTTGCAACAATTTAGAAAGGATAAGTGTATTGTTGGTATTTCGACAAGAGTTTCATCATTCTGAGTTCTGCAAAGATCAGTCTAAGATTTTCAATCCAAATTTCAAGAAATAACACAAGCCCTCAGCACCATACTCTCAACTGTCTTCAAAGTAACAGGCAAACCAATATAATCGACCAGACAGGCAACAATCACAAGAAACAAGATCTCAGATCTTATTACAGGAAGGTAATTAATATTGGTCCATAGCAAAATATCTACTTCTCAACTTATTTCATTTGATACAAGTAATTTGAAGATAATTGAGCTGCAAAACACTATAGCCTTCTTCGACTTGTCCTCCAAATAAAAGCTTGTTAAATTACTACAACCCAACAGTAAATCGAAACTATATATTACTATAGAGAACAAATAAACAAACCCATGTAAACTAATAACACAAAAGGGCCAAAATCGAAAACCCACCTCTCGTCCCTTCTATAAGGGCCTTCGCCACACGAAGAGGGGTCTTTTTCAAACCTTCACGATTGAAATCCTCACCCAAACCCTGCAAAAGCACTTTCACAGCCTCCTGAATGACTACAGTCTCAGGTTCCTTCTCAAAACCGTTCTCAACACAGCCCTTGCAACCTACCCCATTTTCCAGTTCCATATCATCATGCCAATAATCTAAACCATTCATTGAAAAAATGCAGAAAAACAAAATAAATACAAACTGGGCCCCAACAAAAAAACGCACAGACAGGTTTCCTATGCACTAGGGTTAAAGTCCCAGATTTGAAGATTGACAAGCAACTTATTCTATGTAAGAATACAGAAAAAAGCTTAAAGCTTCGATTGGTGGCTACTAACACCGTCAAAACGAATAAAAGGTTCAAATTTTGGGGTCCGCTGGTTGATAACTATCTCAGAATCCAAAAATGAAAAAGCCCCAGAAAACCTAATTCCAAATGGAATCGAACTTTTTCTAAATACAGAAAGCTTAAAGCTTCGATCTTTCGGCTACTACCATCACCAAACCGAATAAAAGATCCAAATTTGGGGGAACCCTGGCTGATAACTATCTCAAAATTCAAAAACGAAACAGTCCCAGAAAACCTAATGATTCAAAATCTTCGGCTGTCCGAATGAAAACGATGGAACAGATTCGAATGCAAATTAATAACTACAACACAAACAAGCCCTGCAAATCAAACGATTAAAAAAAAAAAAACAGATTCTGATAAATTAAATCAGAATGCCGATTATAATCAGCAGCGAGAACAAGAACTGGATAGAGAGATGAAGGGCTGTTATTTGAGAGGACGATGGTGAGATGAGAGATGTGTGTCTATGGAGAATTGTCAACTACATATGTAAACGCAAAATTGATAATACGGTCGCCATTGGTTTTTTTTTGGAATGTGTGGAAAGGACCATCGTTTTGCATTCCCAAAAATTGCATAGATATGAGATGGTTTGAGTCTCTTTCGGCTTAATCAGTGGTCTAGTGTTCGAGTCTTGGAAATGTAGCAGTGCTAAAAACTCTTGAGGAAGAGTTCTGCCGCCTTTATGGTCCTACCCGGCTCGATGTCGAATTAGTCGGTTTCCCTCTAAATCAAAAAACCGAAAGGTCCCTGTACCAAAAAAAAATAAAATAAAAAAAAAATTGCATAGATTTGGCTGAGCAGAAAGTAGGACCCAAACCAAATGAATTGGTTTGGTCATTGGTGCGATTTCTTTCCGGGTCGGACATCGTTCAGTACAAATAACTTTTTTTTTTT